ATAATGAAAGATAATCAGAAAAGGCTCTAGTCATCATATAGGTGCAGAGACAGAATATTTCCTAAGCTTCCAGTCTCAATTAATGGCATTCACCAATAATACATACCTCAAGCTAGAAATTCAGAATCTACTTTGATTCTTATCTTTGTCTTATAGTCCTTAAATACCCAAGTTGTACATTTTTACTTCCAAAATGACAGTATCTGTTGCCTTAGATCAGGCCCTCACATCATATATACTACACACAGGAATTATTTTAGTAGGCTCTGTGAAAGACCTAAAGCTATATAAGGGTTTCTATACTCAATGAATGTATCACGTAAGAAATTATCATCATACATACCAAATTAAAATCAAAGACTATAATCCTGTTATCAAAAATATCTACAAAACAGAATAGTTATTTGAATTGGTAGGGGGTTGGAAGTGAGTGATGAAAGGCAATATTCACATCTTATTCTGTATCTTTCCATACTGTTTGATTTTCATACCAGAATATATTTAAATATCACTTGAGTACATTGATATTTTTTTAAGGAAATAAAGTAATGGAAAAAGAAATACTGATGATCCTAAGAAAATTCAGATGAGAATAAGGCAAAGAGACTAATTTGAAAAAGAATACTCTAGTTAATCTTTGCACATAATTTGTTCACTGGGAAATGAAAAGGAGAAAACATTACATATGGAGGAATATGAGTGAAAAATATTATACTGGACATTTATCACATTCAAAACTGCCTGTCAGCTTCTGCAGGAAATTCTCCCATTATGAGTTCACCTTCCCAAAATACATTCCAGACTTCAAATACCCAACATAACCTGCAACTTACCATGCAGACCTTCAGAAGTACCTTACAAGACTTCAGGTTGGAAATGAGTCAAAGAGAAAACAGGCTCTGTGAGGAACTACCAATTTTGACCTGGTATAGGCAACAGCAGAAGCGTCAGCTTTCCACAAGGGCACAACAGAGCTCCTGGGTGGCTGCAAAATCAAGTCCCTAGCACAGAAGTGAGAGAGTAGCTATGGTACTGGTGGTTTCCTCGAGTGTTGGTGAACAGGACAGTGACAGTTCTCAGACATGTTCTGAACCAGATTACCTGAAAGCTTCACCTTACATCTGGTTCTCCAACCCTCCCCCAAATTATATGAAGTACCAAAAACCCTCAAGTAAATTCCTCATCTGCTCAATATGCCAGTAAGCTTCTTCAACTGATTAAGAACAGTAAGCAATCCAAGTAGGAAAACTAGAAAATGTGGCTCTTGAAGAAAAACAAATTATTCCATTTATCTGCAGTATGGAGTTAGGTTTCCAGAAATGTAGCTCAAGGAAATTTTTGAAAGATAAAAGGTGAAAGTGACTTATATCATTCTTCAAATGTTCCACTAAGGCTTGGCCTTTGTTCAGCAAGTAGTACGATAATCACTGAAAGTTTCCAAACAAAGGAGTGAGTGACATGATCAAAGCTGTTCTTCGTGATTATTCAAGTAGCAGAGTTGAATGAATTAAAGCAAAATGATTGGCAACCAGGTCAATTAACAGAGTATTCTGACAATCAGTAAAATATGAAAATAGAGAGGAATATGCTACAGAGAGTCAGTTCTAAATGAAAATAGACTTGTGTCTATGGAAGTCTATGGAAGATTTGCATTAATATATTATAGTATTATAAATGTTTTATCTATATAAATTTGTATTGATATTCCTAACAGAATATAAGCATTAAAATCATCATAGCCTCTTCAAAATATTTTTTAAAAAGCAAAAATAAAAAAACATTCAAATTCACTAATAACTGCCGATCATATTCATAAAATTATTAAGGGCTGTTAATATACTATGACAATGAATGTAAACTGCTGTAAACTCTCAAAGAAGAGGAGTAGTTTGTATATGTCAATATTTTAAATAATGGTACATGTATGTGAGCATGCATATACATGTACATGTGTGCATGTAATAACATGTATACTCATGAGCAGAGAAAACATTAGGAGAAATACACATGAAAGTTAATAATCAAAGGTATCCTCTGCATAGTGGAAAGAGGACAAAGGGAGAAAAATCACAATTCACTTTATATAATGACTTTTATAATTTTATTTTTAAAAATTAATTTTTATAATTTTATTTCTTTACAAGGAACATAATTTTACCATTTGATCAAACTTCTGCAAGGGTGGTTGGTTGGCTTGTGATCTCAAAGAGTTTGAAAAACTTCAAATAAAGAATACTTACTAAATATTTCCAGTGACTATGTCACTTTCCATGTCACAGCTGCAACCTCAGAGATCATCTCACTAGACTTGGCTGCGACTTACATTTGATGACGTGCTACTTTCCTGTCTGCATTTACTGGCACAATACTTCCCAACTGCATAGAAAATCAACAACTGGTGATAAAAAACAGATCCTCATCAAACCAGTGTTTACTTTTATAAATCTGAAAGCAATTGGTACATGCTGTTCACAAAATACTATGGTACTCTGAGCACAGAATTCATTCCTAAAAATTTCAAAACTTACCATATTAAAAAAATTACCTAGGATTTGGCATTCCACTCCAAGGGATTCCAATTCAGTAAGATCAGAGGAGGGCCCAGGAAATATCATTTTTAAATAAGTGGATCTGCTGTTTCATTTATTATAACATCACTCCACCCAATTCTAAAGACTTCAAGCTTAAATATTCCAAGTTCAACCACATCCAGTCTCCGAGTTTTAGGTCAAATCTGATTTATTGTGACATTTAGAATTCATTACTGTCAAAACTAAGGATCAAAGTTTACTCTAGTCATGCACATATACACATACATACACACAAAACACAAATAAATGAAGAAGGAATTAAATATTTGATGAGTACGAATGTCTGGGAATAAAGGATCATTATATCTTAGAGATGAATCCAAATAATGTTAATTTATTGCCCTAAGAAAACACAAGTAGAAATAGGTACAGTACAATTCCTAATGAACTTTTATGAAGGTACCTAACTGTAGCCACAAATCCCAAACACAAAATATTATGATGGCATCTAGTCGACATTTAGGGAGAAATACTGAAATCTGAACTAGCATAGGTTTAGTCCTTGCAAAAATCAAATTAACATGGTTTACAGTATTCATGAGACATAGAAGAGCTAACGGTTTCAGATAGATTTAAGCTTGCAAGGGTAAAATAGAAGAAAACGATGTCACTGGAACCTAATATCGGGTTGTCAGGAAAGTCATGACACATTTTTGCAAGTAAAACACAGAAAAATATATCATGACTTTCCCAACAATGTAGTAATTCAAGTGAATTATAGTTAACATAATTCACATAATTTCATGTATTCTGTTCATTGTGAGGTAATTTTTTTAAAATATTCTAAATCATTCTCTAATAAGAACCTGAAGTCATTTAATAATTCAACTGAAGAATCTCCTAGGACTAGATTACATACAAGGTACCATGCTAGGTAATAAAGACAAAACATATATTATTCACAATAAAAATATGATTATAACCTTTCCCCTCAATGCTTATAATTCAAGTTACACAGCTGCAGAACAAAACTAAGGCTTATCATAAAGAACCTATAAAACACCAGATAATGAGAAGTGGCCTTACATCAAAGATAAGGCCATAAAAACAACCACCAGAATGACGGCCTACTTCTCAACTGCAATAAAGGAATCCCAAACACAGTGAACCAATACTTTCAAAAGGTTCAGAGTAAATAGTAGACTTCAAGACTTGTATTTCCAGCAAACTATCTTTCAAGAGAAGGGGTAAAATGTGCTTTTGGCTAAATAAAAACAGAGCTTACCAGCAACAGGCTCACTAAAAGAACTGTTAAAAGTTACCTTTGTTTCTCTTTCAGGAAAAAGAAAAATCGATCCTGAATTGCAACAAAGGAATGGTGAGGGGGAAAGAGAAAGTAAACCTGTGATTAAATCTTTAAAAACAGGGATGAGAGGTGCTGTTGTTATTAGAGCAGCTGGATCATACCTGGCCAACTAAGAAATTTGAGTTACAGAACTGGCAGTTTGGAAATCACACCAGATACATGTGCATGTGTGCCCAAAATCCTGAGAGGAAAATGGAGGAGAATGGATTGTGATGTGGCCATCAGGGGGTGATTTCTCACTTTCTCTCTCTCTCTCTCTCTCTC